GGGTGTGGTGATATTGGGGAACAGTGGCTCCAGAGTTATTATATGCAAAGACTAACCAGGGTAGTATGTTAAAGTGAAAATTCTTATTCTGTCCCTCCCTTCCTCAATCATTCACTGTTATCTTTTTTATTCCAACTCATAACGATCCTGTTTAGGGCTTCCAAGGTTCCAAACCATTATGGGAGCAGAGTCTCATCTACTTCTTGAAGATCAGCTAGTGGGTTTGAACTGCTGACCTTGCAGTTAGCAGTCCAGTGCTTATCCTACAGTGCCACACCCTGATTTAGTAGGTCAGGGTTGGAGCACATGAATTGCACTTTAAACAAACAGTAAAGACGAATCTGATATAAGTGGGATCACACTTTGTAAACTGTATACTTTGAGAGCCTCGGTCTCTGAAACCATTTGACTCAAATTATAAAAGCTTGGGTATGTAAGTTTTCCAATTCATCTTTTTAACAGCAATTAATATTGAGATCTAAGCACTGAGTACAAAACTCTAATTGAGAAAATCATTCAAGAATAGTAATTTAAGTTTAGATAACTATGTATTAATTTGTAGAAAGACGCCACTTAAAATTTCTTATAAAAAATAAGCTTATTGTTTGAAGTAGATAAAAATATAAATAATAACCATATCAAACAGAATAGTTTAACATTTAAAGTTAATAAAATTTGGATGTTTCTTTACCAAAGGAAATAAATATTTAGAAACTAGGACCTAACATATAAAAAAACAAACATTGCAGTTATTTCTCCTATAATTCAATCAGGGTGCCATTAACAGGAGTGCTCTGGTTAATCTTAATTGTCATGATGGTATGAGGAGATATGATATATAAGGTATTCAAACCTCTTGGGATATGTTATTAGGATCCATTATTAAGTAAGAGGATGAAGTGAAACTGGAATGAAACAAGTCAGGCGTCTGATATCAGTATTTCCTGTTGTTAGTACTAGAAGATTTCACCTTTTACATTAAAAATATAACATACTGATGTTTCCCGCTGATATTTATATGTTATAATTTCTGTGTTTCTTTACATGCACAGGCATGCAAATCCGCACCCACAGACTTGCATTTGATGACCAAAAAGGAAGAGGCCCCAAGGGTTCTTCAGTGTGCAATTAATATTTTGGTCAGAAAATCAGTAGATTGTTTCAGTATGGCTGTATGTTATGACATCATATTCCAGTAAAATTATAATGAACAGAAATGTTGTTTGTCTCTGTGGCAAACCAAAATGAGTTTTGTAATTGTCAGCAGGCCTTAGTGATTACTGTGGCGCCCACTACCTCCACTGTAGTTTAGGATCTGTTAGCATTCCAATTGTGCACCTCTATTTTCAGAAGTTCTTGTAATTCATTGTAAACATTTGCTCTGTGGTGAAAGCTTGCCATGTAAGATTGTATCCTCCAGGAATAAATTTCTGATTTCAAGTAGTCTGTATTAACGCATTATAGTGAAACCAGGTTAAAATACCTATAAAATTCCATGGAGGTGAGAGAAAGCAGAATTTTGTGGGGTACAAAATGAAAGGTAATCTATAATACTCAAATTGTTGTTGTTGTTAGGTCCTGTTGAGTCAGTTCCAACTCATAGTGACCCTATGCACAGCAGAACAAAACACTGCCCGGTCGACATTGTTGTTGTTGTTAAGTGCTGTCGAGTTGATTCCGACCCATAGTGATCCTGTATAGGGTTTTCAAGGAGCAGCTGATGAGCTTGAACCACTGACCTTGCTGTTCAAACAACTTTGCAGTCTGATGCATTAGCCCACAGCGCCACACCAGGACCACATTACTCTCTCAAAATTTCTGCATTAAAAGGATCTAAGATTAAAAAAAGATAATAAAAACTTGTGCACTCCAGTATATTTATAATTAATGTAATCAAAGAGCAAAAGAGGCTATAGTTTTTAATGTATGTATTTTTTTAGAAAAAGGGTTTAAAAAGTCTTACTGTAAGTGATTTTTTTCCTTCCTTATAACATTTCTGTTTGAAAAATGAGAACGTGTGACTTATATAATGAAAACACATTTAAAACACTTTATCTTCAAGCAAAAATGCTAGAAAACTGTGGGCCAAGAAAATTGAGTTTGGGTTAAAAATTTGCAGGAGTGACTCTCTTTTTGTCGCCCTCTTGCTTTCTGTACTGCATTTGACACTGCTGATTATCCCTCTCCTTGACATTGTTTTGTCATTTCTTTCTTAGCTCTGAGGCCTCTTTCATCTCCCTCACTGCTGTCTATTATTTCCCCTGCCCTTTGATCATGGGCATCAATCAGGCTCCAGTCCTCAGCTCTTTTTTGGTTTCTGTACATTTACCCTTTCCAGGTGCTTATCCACTCACATGGTTTCAATTATTGCCTCCCAAATCTGCATTTTCACTCCCACTATACATCTCTAGTCCTTCACCTCCAGTAAACCTTCACTGATTAGTCCCATCTGCCTGGTGAATTCTCCTGAGATGGCCTCTGTCCAGTTTTTCTCAGATCGAATGTAGAATACTTTACTCGGATGTCCAGTAATCATCTAAAAGTTTGTAGGACCTTGATTGTGCTTCTTTTTTCTTGGAAATAAACACTTTCCAGCATTGGAGTGATTTTGAACTTTATCTTTTGGCATTGTATTTATAAATCCACCATGCCATGAAAATTAATCCTATTGGTTTTGCTCATATTCATGTGAAAGCTGGGCAATGAATAATGAAGACCAGAGAAGAATTGATTCATTTGAATTATAGTGTTGGTAAAGAATATTGAATATAACATGGGCTGCTAGAAGAACAAATAAATCTGTCTTGGAAGAAGTACATGCAACCAGAATATTCCTTAGAAGTCAGGATGGTGAGACTTCGTCTCATGTACTTTGGACATGTTGTCAAGAAAGACCAGTCCCTGGAGAAAGACATCATGCTAGGTAAAGTTGAGGGTCAGCAAACAAGAGGAAGACCTCCAACAAGGTGAATTGACACAGTGTCAATAACAACAAGCATAGCAACAATTGTAAGGCTGGCACAGGACCTGGTACTGTTTGTTTTGTTGTACATAGTTGCTATGAGATGGAACTCATTCAACAACACCCAAGAGCAACACTAGCTAACTCCAGTGGCCATTTCATTTTTCACTTATTTACTAGACCTATGAGAAGCTTTTGATACAACTGTGATCCTTCCTTCTTCCTTGATAAATTTATTTTTTTGTCATTTTGCTTTCAGACCAGGCTGATTTTGGCTCCATCACTCCCTTCCAAAGAGTTCTCATGTCTTTAAACACCATTTTTATGTCGCTTGGACCTCTTTCCTAGAGTTAAGGGTCATAAATCCAACTGTCCACTAGATATTTCCACTTGGAAGTCTAATAGACCTAGTAAGTTAACAGCTCCAAAATGGAACTGCACATTCCTTGTTGCAGTGTTCACTATCTCCCATCTTTTAGTTCAACTCAGAAATACTGAGGGTTGGCCTTGACTCTTTCCTCACTAGTCCTCAGGTAAACTCCGTCAGCTCTACTTAAAAATTCATACAGAATTCAACTTATCTTAATTTCCTCTGCTAACACCCTAGCCCAGGCCACTATCACCTTTCCCTTGGATTTGTCATTGGCCTCTTAATACATTTCTCTACACTTACTGTCACTGTCTATGGCAGTCTGCTCTTTATATATAAGTCAGATGGTCCTTCCAAAATGTAAGTTGATCATTTCACCATTCTGCTTAAGACTTTCCATTGGTGAGGCATTTCATCACAGCAAAAGTCAGACCCTTACAATGGTTTGTAAAGAACATTGTGAAGTCTGGCCCTCTTACTTACTAATCATCTCTAAGATTTTGTTCCTTTACTCATTCAACTCTAGCTTGTTTGGCTTCTTAGTAAAGCTTCAAAGCAGCAAAGACTTTGGTATATTTTATTCATTTTCATATCCTGCTGTCTTACAAAAGGCTCTCGATACATAATTGTTAAATTAATGGGGTTTATTACATGAACTCTTATTTTTTTTCTTCTTTAGTCTCTATTAGGTTTGTTCTTTCCTCTTATAACCACTTTTATCCCTTCATGTTTGCTTTATTGCACCATCTAACTATGCCTCCTTATGTCAGTTTCATTAAGAATTGTCACCTTAGAATATTTTATTGATTTATTTGTTATACTTTCTGCTTAAGAATTGGCTGGTATGCGTTATTCTTTGTTGTATTGAATTTGATCTCCTTAATGCCTTGCATCAAAGTAACTCCATCTCTCTGCCCCCTCCTGTTTCTAATCATAAGTGCCTTCTGCTAAAAGCTCAGTAATCTCTGTTTCCTAAGTAACACAGATTCTGGCCTGTCTCCAGTCTCTTTATTAGCTCTCTCACCTGTGATTGTTGCTGTTAAGTGCCATCAAGTCGGTTCCGACCCATAGCGACCCTGTATAGGGTTTCCAAGGAGTGGCTTGTTAGCTTGAGCCTTGTGGTTCAAACCGACCTTGCAGTCTGACGCATTAACCCACTGTTCCACTCCAGGACTTCCCTCACCCAGTAGCCCCTGACTGTTTGATCCAATTCTCTCAAAATATGACTGAAAACGCCTCTCTAGAAAGTATTTGTCATAGAGTTCATTAAAATAATTGGTGATATTTATGTTTACTGTTGCTTTTTTCGTTAAATGGACATCAGTGTACATTCTTTGTTATCTATAAATATATTGGTAATTTTTCTTTTATAAATACCTAATAGACTCCTGGTGTGGTGTGCTGAAGGATAAACACTGGACCATTATCTGAAAGGTCAGTGGTTCAAACCTACCAGCCACTACTAAAAAACCCTATAAAGGATTGCTATGAGTCAGAACCAACTTGGCCGCACTTAACAACAACAATGACGTGAAAATTATATTAGGTTTAATAGGAGGGCTTGGTACCTACATTATATAGTTTGTATGCTTTTCAGAAGAACTAATTTTATTAATGAGTATGGAGTGGTTTTATTGACCTAACAGTATTTTTATTTTCTTATTTTAGGTATCATTGCCCAATGCCTAAGATCTTTTATGTTCAGCTGACTGTAGGGAACAATGAATTTTTGGGGGAAGGAAAGACTCGACAAGCTGCTAGACATAATGCTGCGATGAAAGCTCTTCAAGCACTCCAGAATGAACCTCTTCCCGAAAAATCGCCTCAGGTGTGGTGCTGCCACTTGTTGACTGTATTTTCGTGATTGTCTCCTAGTGAGAGTGTTGAGAAGACAAATACAAGCAGTTTTCCAAACAGAAGAGAAGAAATCTAATGGGCAGAAGACAAGACTGGTGATCTGCTATTATTTGCTTCTCAGGCTGTCCATTATACGACACTACCTGATAAAATTACCTAAACTTTTAGTTTGGGTTCATCTAAGGAGCACATTTCCCAGGCAGTTTAGGATTTTAGGTTGTGTGCAAGGATGAGAAGTTACATTCATTTGCCTTGCATTTTTTGCTACGTTGATTGAATACGGATTGCATTGTACTGCTCTAAAATCAAGGAATTTTAAGGGATAGGAATTCTTTAAAGTAGGTTTTCCAGTCTACTGATATTTTCAGATGACGAGATTGAACTATTCTTGAGTGATCTCACCCAATTTTCACAGCTTCCGGTGATTTTTTCTTCCCATTGACTTTAAAATAGTGTCTCTAGCTCAGACATGTCCTGTAGTATGTTCTATTGTGTTTCAACCTAAAAAATTCCCCTACCTCCAAACCTATTACTCTTTTTTTTTTTTTTTTTGAGATTTATCTTAGTGATGTTTTCCTTGTATAATTTCACAATAACTATTACTTTTTATCTGAGTTTGCATTCTGTTTACTTTCTATAACATAATCTTACTAGAAGATTAAATATACTAAAACTCCACAGTGGGAGGGATAGAAGTCTGTAAGATGTAAGATTGGGATCTAGGAACATAGGTAAATACAAATTAGTGTATGGTTAAGTAGAAAGATTTAACTCAGCATTTATGCTTCTGCTTGAGGGAAAAACAAAAACAAAAACCCCTGTAAAAATCCAACGACAAAAAACCTGGAAGCAAAGCACTTGAATACTGTGGTTGCATAGGAATGTACATGGAATACAGTTTGCCTTTTTTTTTTTTTTTTTACTGTATTTTAGATAGGTGCTCTTGAATATAGAATATCTGCAAAAGTTGTTGCAAAGTGAAGAGTCAATGTCATCTTTGTTTTTGCAATTTAGAATGGAGAATCAGGAAAAGAAATGGATGATGACAAAGATGCAAATAAATCTGAGATCAGCTTAGTGTTTGAAATTGCTCTGAAGCGAAATATGCCCGTCAGTTTTGAGGTATGTACTTAGTGGAGATAATCCACTATTTCCCCCTGCTTGTGGTTATTTTAAACAAAGAGACAGATAACATTAACTGGTGTTCTAGGATCCTGAAAGAGATGATGTGTTTCCTTGTGTTCAAATCCACCATCGTGAAATTATAAAGGCCTAGGAGAAAATAAAACTTATTATAATAGCATAGATTCCTGCTGATGTCTTTGTTCTCTCTGTATTAAATCATTTGTGTATAGGAATTCCAAATTTTCATTATAAAATTTATTTTCTAGATTTGAGATAATTTGTTATACCAAATAGGATTTGGTGCTTTTTTGTTTTGTTTTAATTTATTTTATTTCTCTTGTTGTTGAGAATATAAGCAGCAGAACACAAACTAACTCAATAATTTCTACATGTACAATTTAGTGACTGATTAAATACTTCAACTTCCGCAACCATTCTTATCTTCTTTTTCCAAAATTGTCTTCCCCTGCCTTCTGATTACATAAACTTCCCCCACCCCATTAGCATAAACTCACTGCCCTTAAACATTTCCTGTCTAATTCCGATTGTCAATTTGATCCTGCATAGATAATTCTTAAAAGAGTACTATGCTTAAGGTAGACATTTTTACTAATTAAGCTAAACTACTGTTGTTTTAAAGATGACTTCAGGGGCTACTTTTGGTTAAAGTTTAAAGATTATCTCAGGGCAATAGTTTCAGGGGTTCATTCAACCTCTGTGCCTCCTGAAAGTTGGACTTCATGGATCTGATGTTTTTAACAGGGTCAAATAAAAAATATTCATGTGATTATTTAGTGATGTTGTTAAGTGCTATTGAGTCGGTTCTAACTAATAGCCACCCTGTATAGGGTTTCCAAGAAGTAGCTGGTAGGTTTGAACTGCCAACCTTGTGGTTAGCAGTCCAGTGTTTATCTCACAGCACCATACCAGGCCCCAAGAAGAAGATATGAAAATTGGGATATCATTGTTGATATCAGATGAATCTTGGCTAAGAGCAGAGAATACCAGAAAGATGTTTCAATGACTGCAAAGGCATCTTACTGAGTGGATCATAACAAATTATGGATAACATTGTAAAGAATGGGAATTGTATTCATGAGGAGCCTGTACATTGACCATGAAGCAGTCATTGAATAAAACAAGGAAGTATTTTGTAGTTTAAAATTAGGAGAGGTGTGTGTCACTGTTGTATCCTTTTACCATACTTATTCAGTCTTTATGCTTGTGGCTTGCATTCCCATGCTGATCCTACAGTGCCACACTGAGGAGTGGGGATAGGGAAATATAAATATAAATGAATGAGTGTGTATATATATATATTTTTTTTTTTTTTTCAGTCATTCATGCTACTGTTCCTCTCATATCCATTCAGCTTGTGTCTCTGTCCATGTGTCTAACCCATAGAACATTGTTGTTCCAAGCTTATATATATGTAAAGGGAATAGAGGTAAATAGTTATAAATTATATGTATTTTTATCACTATTTACCTCTTTCCCCTTTAGTCCTTATACATCTTCCTATGTCTTCACCTGTCTTCATCATTCTTCTGCTAACCTTCCCCTGCTTGTATGTTGCTCTCCCTGTCACTTGAGTTAACATGTGTTTACCCTCTGCCTAGCCAGTGATCTACACTCGCCTCCCTGGTAACCATCAAAGAACGTTTCTTTTTTCTCTTTCAAACTCTTATATATTTGTGGGATATATAAACACATATATGCCACTCTCTCTTAACCCATTTAGCCTATGTCTCAATCCATGTATCTACACACAGAATACTGTTGTTCCAAGGTTGTGTTTATGTCACTATTGACAGCTGTCTAGATTAGGGTATCTCTTATTGGTCAAAATTTTGAAGGAGACTGAAAGTTTGAGCTCTCAGGTTTTGTATGTTATCTTTACTCCAAAAAACAGTTTAGTTTATAATAGTATGAGCAGATTAAACAGCATTTTGTATATAACTGATGTATTTGTAATTTATTACAGTAGAAAAGTATTTTTAATACATATCTACTTATACTTTTAATATTGTGTCACACAGAGTAACCTTGCCTATAAAATGGTGTCTGAAGTGTCCTTCAAAATACTGTATTTTTCTACAAAATAGAATTTTGAATCCTTGGAGTTCATATTTTCTGGTTTCATGGAAAGGGAGTGAACCCATGAAACTATGGCTTTGAAATCTTTAAACCTTAAACCAGAAATAGCCCCTAAAGTTATCTTAAAGCTCAGTGATAGTTTAGCTTATCTAGTGAAAAAGTTCTGCTTTGAGCATTATGCTCTTTTAAAAACTGTATCTATGGGATCAAATTGAGAACAGCAACTCAAGAGATTAGGTAGGAACCCCTTACAGAACAGTGAGTTTGTTTTAGTGAGGGAGGAGCCATTCAGAAAAGAAGGATAATAGTAGTTGCAGAACTCGGAGTGGTTGTACAACTGAAATAATAATCCTTGTCACTAAATGGTACATGAATAAACTGCTGAGTTGGTCTATGTTTTGCTATGTGTAGTCTCAACAACAGTATCCCTATATAGAATTTGTTGTCATTGTTGTTAAGTGCTGTTGAATTGGTTCCAAATGATAGCGACCCTGTATAGGGTTTCTGAGGAGTGACTGGATTTGTACCACCAACCTTGTGATGAGTTGTTGTTGTAAGGTGCCATTGAATTGGTACCGACTCATAGTGACCTTATGCAGAGCAGAATGAAACACTGCCCGATTCTGGGCCAACCTCACTATTGTTGCCACGCTTGAGCCCATTGATGCTGCCAGTGCTTATACTACAGTGCCATCCCAGGACTCTTATATAGGGTTTATGAGACTGTAAATCTTTACCATGGCAGACAGTTTCATCTTTCTACCACAGAGTGGCTTCTGGGTTTGAACTGCCAGTCTTGCAGTTTGGAGTCTTACTGCATGTCCTAAATTAACCATTGTTGTTGTTTTGTGCTTTCGAGTCACTTCTGACTCATAGCAGTCTTGTATAGGGTTTCCAAGAGTGGCTGCCAACCTTGTGATTAGCAGCCCGTGCTTATCTGATAACACCACACCTGGATCATTTAGAGAGATGAAAACCAAATCTACAATGAGAGACCATCTCATTCTGACAGTAATGACAGTGATCAAAATAACAGAAGAAGAAATGCTCGCAAGGCTGTGGGGAGATTGGGATTCTGTACCCTGCTGCTGTTGTTGTTGTCAGGTGCCACTGAGTTGGTACTGACCCATAGTGACCTTATGCAGAGCAGAACAAAACACTGCCCTATCCTGGGACAACCTCACTACTGTTGCCATGCTTGAGTCCATCGATGCTGGCACTTGGCCAGTCCATCTTGTTGGAGGTCTTCCTCTTTTTCTCTGACCCTCCACCTTACCAAACTTGATGTCCTTCTCCAGTACTCTGCTGGTGGGACTCAAATGGCAAAACCCTTCTGGAAAGCATTTGTGTTGCTAAATGCCACTAAGCTGGTTCTGACTCATAGCATCCCCAGATAGGGTTTACTAGGAGTCACAGGTGGGATTGAATTGCTGGTCTTGCAGATAGTAGCCCAGTGCTTATCCTACAGTGCCATGCCAGGACTCCGGAAAATAATATGGCACTTTATTTAAAAAACTGGAACTAGATGTGCCATATGATTAAGCAGTCCCACTCTAAGGTATATGTTGTTGTTGCTAAGTGCTGTTGAGTCGATTCCAACCCATTTGTTGTTGTTAGTTGCCATCGAGTCGGTACCGGCTCAGCAACCCTATGCACAACAGAATGAACACTGCCCAATCCTGGGCCAACCTAATAATTGTTGCCATACTTGAGCCCATTGATGCTGCCACTTTGACAGTTCATCTCACTGCAGGTCTTCCTCTTTTTCGCAGACCCTCCACCTTACCAAACATGATATCCTTCTCCAGCGACTGGTCCCTCCTGACAATATGTCCAAAGTATGAGAGACGAACTCTGGACATCCTGGCCTCCAAGGAGCACTCTGGCTGTACTTCTTCTAACACAGATCTGTT